CTAAGATTTATAGGGAGAGTTTTGGACAGGTTTTTTTAGGAAGATGGGTTTGCCATATACACAAGGAGCATTCAGGGTCTGTGAAAAATCATAGCTATCTAGTCACGCCACCTGCGGGGAAACAAATGGGAGATCTGAGGGGGGCTGCAAAGCTTGGTAGAACTACAGAAGAAGTAGTAGAAATATGAAATACAAACGGAATTCTCAGTTCTTGGCAAAGTGTTTCGGAGACAACCTGCATGCTCTTGCAGGAGGGAGGCTTTTGTAAATATATTGATCACATTTTTAGAACTGTATATGGGTATAACTATTTAGTAACTGATAGACTGGTGCAGTTTTGAAATAACAAACCTGAAACAGCAATATAAATGGTAACTTGCATCAAGGTTTTAGCCAACTTGTTGTGGTGGCCAGTTGAGTCTATACATCAAGATAAACTTCAGTATGAACGTCCTTATAGACAAGCTGATGGCCTATGGGCTAGATGAGTGGACAGTGAGGTGGACTGAATAGTAGCTGAACTGCTGGGCTCAGAGGGTGGTAATCAGAAGAACTAAGTCCAGCTGGAGACTGGTCACTAGTGGTGTCCAGCTGCAGTTGACACTGGTTCCAGTACTGTTTAACTCTTCATTAATGACCTGGATGATGAAGCAATGTGCACTTTCAACAAGTTTGCAGATGATACAAAACGGGTAGGAATGGCTGATGCACCAGGTGTCTGCTACCATTCAGAGGAACCTGGACATGCTGGACAACTGGGCAGACAGGAACCTCGTGAAGTTCAAGAAGAAGTGCAAAGTCCTGCACCTGGGGAGGAAGAACCCCATGCACTAAATACATGCTGGGGGCTGACCACCTGGAAAGCAGCTTTGCAGAGAATGATGATGTTGTGGTCCTGGTGGACAGAAAGCTGAACATAAGCCAGCAATGTACCCTCGCAGCAAAGAATGCCAATAGCTGCCTGGGCTAGATTAGGAGTGTCGCCAGCAAGGGAGGTGATCCTTCCCCTCTACTCAGCGCTGGTGAGGCCACAACTGGAGTGCTGGGTCCAGTTCTGGGCTCCACAGTACTAGGGAGATATGGACACAGTGGAGTGAAATTTGTGGAGAACAACTAAGGTAATTAAGGGACTGGTACACCTGTCATGCAAGGAGAGGCCGAGAGAGCTGGGACTGTTCAGCCTGGAGAAGAGAAGGCTCAGGGGGATATCATCTATCTGATGGGAGCGTTTAATGGAGATGGAGCCAGGGTCTTCTCGGTGGTGCTTGGTGACAGGACAAGAGGCAGTGGGCACACACTGACACACAGAAAGTTCCATCTGAACACAAGAAAACAGTTTTTTACGTGAGGGTGATTGAACACTGGAACAGGTTGCCTGGAGTCTGCTTCTGTGGAGATACTCAAACCTGACTGGACAGAGTCCTGGGCAACCTTCTCTAGCTGACCCTGCTTTGAGCAGTGGAGTTGGGCTAGACAGTCTCTAGACAGTCTTCCAACTTCAACTATTCCGTGATTCTGTGAATTAGAGCCTTTCTAAGCTAACTCGGTCTGTTTATCATGAGGGGAAGGGAGAGATCCAGAAGAGAAGAGTGCAGTGTGGTGATCTGGGATAACCATCAAAGTGGCAAGTCAAAGGCCTGGTCTGATCTAAGTAACCATTTTATGAAAGTAACAAAATGTCTTTTTTTTCCTCCTTGCTCCACCTCCTTTGAGTGTCTACATCATTAGGCCCTTTTTGCTGAGGTGCAAACCACTTCGCTAGTCAAACTGCTTAAAAGGTCCGTTGATCTGGAAACCTAGGCAGAGAGGTAACACATCGTCTCATCACTGTCCAGGGTGAGCTGACTGAAGATAAAGTGCTTGCTGTGTCAAGGTTGGCTGCAGGGGAGAGGTTTTAACTGGGGGATCAGAGCTGGCCAACTGGTGGAGAAGGACCTTCTTGCAAAGGAGAGTTTGACTAGAGCTAGCGAGTCACATGGTGGTGAAAAGGCTGCAGGTCCCTTGGCCAAGAGGAGCCCATAGCAGTACCTTCTGTCAACACTTTCTGTCTGGGTGTGAGGCATCCCCCAGGAAAGATGGCAGCTGAGAATAAGATGCAGCTAGAGGTGTTTTCCTGGCAGGCTGCTGACAGCCTGTCCATCCTTGGGGGTACAGCCCAGCCCTGGCCTGCCTTCCTGGTCCTGGTTTCATGGGGTTTGTGTTGGAGGCAGCATTTGTGTGTTGCACAGAGATGTGCCCAGGAGGAGAACTCTGCTCTGTCCTGGTTCATTTTCCAGACCAAAACCAAAATACCAAGGCTGATTCTCATATGTATGGGCTTTGTCTTTTCTGCTAGCCGTCTTGATTTCCCAAATTGGGAGGGGTGAAGGGGAACCCTGTTGTTGCACAGTTGAAATGCCTTGCCCTAGATGTCTTTTCTTTTTATAGTCTTGCGACATTTTGTGCTGTCAGCATTTCAGTTAACCACTTCTAACTTTTCATCGGTCAAGTTACTGCTTTAAAAAAAACCAAGACTTTAAATACCCTGAATGGTCAAAAATCAGATTAAAATCCCTTTGACATGACCAATTATGGTTTTCTGAGTACAATGTTCTGTATTTGGTGAACTAAGATGTCTCAGGCTGGGACAGAAGCTGATCTGGATTGATAAGAACCCCAGAAATGGGATTAGCTAGGTGAATGTGCTGATCTGATAAAACGTGGAAGTGGCTAAAGGACAACAGATCAGACACCTGATGGTGGCATGGCAGGGTTTAGAATTGTGAATTACATCAAGCAAAGGTCAGCGTTACATGAACAGGCAAGACATCTGATTCAGTTGTCTTACAGAAACTATAGTAAAGTCTGTGCCTGTGCCTCTCATTCCCTTGCTTTCTATTATTCTTTGACTCAGGGCACTGTCTTAGTTTGACAGGGTTGACAGAGCTTGTTTTGGTTCCACTGTTTATTTTATCAGCAGATCATATCTAAAACTTCAAACATGAGTCATTCTAAGCCTTTCCTGCAGAGTGGAAGAACATACTTAGCACACACAGGAAAAAAGCAGTTCCTATAATGTCACATGAGTTTCTTTTTTTCAGTCAGTCCAGAGACAGGACTGGTGGTACTTGCTCCCTGACACACCGAAAAATACCTGCTTCACTCTGGTAGGTATAATAAGCTGCAGAATTCTGCTTTCCTCTTCAACTTGCAATTTCTTGTTCTTCACTCCTGAAAACCTCTCTCTCCCCTCCAGTTCCCTCTTCCATTTTCATAACCACATAGCAGCCCTTTTAGCACTCTTGAAAGCATAGCATGGGCAGTATCTTCTTATTAATTCATCCCTCAGTTTGCTTTGTAGTCGGATTTGTATTACTATATTTACAGCATTCCTTGATGCCCTATCCCCTCCATACCATCTTCTGTAGCTATATGGGGAGGCAGCAAGATGCAGCTCTTGCAGCACTGTTCTCCAGTTGTCCCTGTAAAAGTCACTTCTGCGTGTTATCAGCAAGACCACAGGAAATGGAACAAACTTGTTAGAATGTTAAGTCAAGTCCCCAGCTGCCTTCCAGGGACTTCTTTCATAGCTTTCCTTGCAGGTCACCCTCACCTAAAGCCTCTTAGCAATTGTTACCAGAAAGTGGTAAATTACAATGTTTGTTACGACTGTTTATCTCATTTTCTTTGTGGTGAAGTGGTTCTAAAACTTAATGCATCACTCCACATTTAGACTATATGTTATGCAAGAGATCGATGCTTTGGAAATTTTTTTTTTTATATATAATATTGATATTTAGTCCTGCACACAAAAGTCCCTGACTGGCATTTAAGTACTGGCATAATAGAGGTTAAAATAAAATCAGTCTGGGTTTTCTTACTGATGTCTCATCAGTTGCTTCTGCAGGCTGTATTCAGCTCTGACCTATGCAGTTTCCTTGTGTTCTGGCAATGCTTTTAGGGACCTTTCAGCAACACAACTGTCTTCATTAGATTCAGCAAGGTTTTAGTTAACAGGGATTTTTATAAACAATTCTATTAATGCCTAAAGGATGAAGGTCAGGCTCTTTTTCTCAGCTTTATCTTGACTTTGCTAGATTTCCTTTACTTTCCTTTCTAAATTTACTAATATCTAAGTCCAAAAATAATTGAGCAATTAAAGTTTTTCCACTACTATTCTCATAGTTTTAAAACATCACTTAAGTATTCTGTGGCTCAGCTTCACTGGCTTGCAATGACACCTTTTCTTATGCCTAAAATGGCTCAAGAACATTACTGCTATTACTCTATATTTTAATTTTTCTTTCTACAACTAAACCTCTGTCTGTTCTTCTTAAACCATGCATTTCTTGCCTTTTGCCTCATCAAGACTAGCTTTCCAAGGAACCGGCAGAGACCTCAGAACAAAAGCAGGGAGAAGGAAGTGCTTACTGAGACTTCCCTAAAAATACCCCTTAGCAAACAGAGTTGCTGTCCTGTCTGTTCTATTTCTAATGTCCTGAAAGTGGAGCAGGGATATTTCATCAAGATAAGCATTGCTTTCTTAACCTAAACCTATTATTTCACTGGTTATGCCAGAAGAAATCACTCACTTTAAAGGGAAAAGGAACTAAAATGCTGACTTCTCTTTCTGAAGAAGTGTACACAAAGCTGGAAATGGATCAGGAAAGACACCTGGTGACAGTGTGGGCATGTGAATAGAGAGCTCCGCTTTAGAGTGGAGACTAAAAAGAACCAGACTGAAATCAAGGGGGATGACAGAGATAGGAGAACGTCAGCGCATACAACCCCCTGTTTGAATAGTGGGCCTTATGTAGCTTGACCACCATGAGAATGATGAAGGTGTACAATGGTCAGATTACTAAGCCTTTAGCACAAACTTGTATTGACCGATGCCTTTGTACCCTGACTGCTCTGTACTGTCACCTGACTCAGAGGTGCTTCAGTACAGATAAAGAGAAGAATTTGGGGACGAGGGTGTGCATTGCCTACTGATTTGCTTTCTGTTTTGTAGCTACAGAATGCCTCAACTCCTGGGTAACAGCAGTTCGCATGAACAGGCTGCTGCATATTATGCATCAGAATCCATTGTCTCCATTGCTATCTTCATCATCGTTATCATCATAGGTATCCCAGGCAACGGATTGGTGATCTGGGTAGCTGGTCTCAAAATGAAAAGGTCTGTGAACATTGTCTGGTTCCTAAACCTTGCTGTGGCTGACTTCATATGCTGTTTGTCCTTGCCATTTTCCGTTGTTCACCTGGCCCTCCATGAACACTGGCCATATGGTTGGTTCCTCTGCAAAGTCATTCCATCAGTCATAATCTTCACCATGTTTGCTAGCGTCTTCCTACTCATGACCATCAGCATTGACCGGTGCCTCCTTGTGATGAAACCTGTCTGGTGTCAAAATCATCGAACAGTGAAATTTATATCACTAATATGCAGTGGCATTTGGATCCTGGCCTTCATTTTCTGCTGTCCTGTCTTCCACTACCGTGATACTAGCACTCACGATGGCAAAACTGAGTGTGGGTACAATTTTGGAGATGATGAGGTGCTAGATTATATGAATGATTCTGTAAATGAGTCATGGGAAGAATATTCACTTTTAGTCTACAATGGTAATGACTCATGGGGAAATTTCTATGAAGGTGATTATTCTGTATCCATTGCCTTAGTGGTAATAAACATCACTAGGGCTGTCTTTGGCTTTGTACTCCCCTTTGGCACAATGGCAGTTTGCTATGCCCTTATTGCTTTCAGAACGCATGCAAATCAGTTTCACAAGCCACACAGCAGGATGCTGCGAACAATTGTGCTCATGGTGGCTGCATTCTTCATCTGCTGGGCTCCATACCATGTAGTTGGGATTCTGTCCCTTGTACCTACTCTTGGAACAGGACTGAGCGAGTCATTGATCCTCTGGGATCACCTCTCTACAGCACTTGCATACGCCAACAGCTGCATCAACCCCTTGCTCTATGTTTTTGTGGGACGGGACTTCAGGGCAAAGGCACGGCAGTCACTGCAAGGAATCTTGGAAGGTGCCTTTACTGAGGAGCCAACACGTTCGATCACTTACTCCCTTCACGGAAACAAGACTTCAACAGAGAAGGACGTTAGCAGCACAGTGTAATGCAGGAGTTCTGATCGCTGCTGTAGAAAGAGCGAGCTATGGCTCTGCACATCAGCCACTCTCTACTGTAACTTTTTTTTTGCTCCAACACATTTGATTAATCTTCAGATCCACACACAGGGCACTGAGATGGTTCAGATCAGAACAGCTACCCCGCTTTATATCCTACTCGAGAGATGGGAAGTTGGAAGTACCAAGAGTGATAACGAGGGAACACTGGTGAAGCAGGAGACACAGAGTACTTCAGCCTTTGAAGGACACAGGCTTGCAGAGTGATTTGCGGTGGGATCATGTAGTTCAACCTCTGAATTGCTAGATGAGAATGTCATTAGAGTTATTGTCATATGTCTATGTTCTACATCTGTCTCTGATAAAGCACAGGTGAAACTAACTTTGATGGCTCTCCTCGGAATCTGTCATCCCATCTTTCCTCTCCCTGGAACTAAACTTGGGGTCTGAGGGTTTTTTTTCCTGAAGATTTCCTTAGAGGGTAGTGCTACATTTTCTTACAGCAATGCATTAGAACAGCACTTGCCCCAGTCAGCTGCATTGAACTGACTCTCATGCCCTGGTAGATGCCCATGATATTTCTTTGTCCCAGCAAATACATCCCTGTACAGTAGTAACTGGTCCAATGCAGATGCTGTAGCTACGTTCGTTAGCATGCACTCACTGACTGTCTCCCCAACACTCCCTCCACCACCAGAGTCCCAAATCTTCCTTTTAGGAAATAGTCCGAGACTATCCAAATGTACATACGCATCTTAAGATGGCACACAAGCAGAATTTCAGTAACTGCAGTCATTGATGTATCAGATTAGGTGGCTGCTGGACTATCAGTCATTTGGTAAAACCTTGGAATTGAGAGGAGATAACCTCCATTCTGACCCCAAGAAGGCAGGGAACGAGCCTGTTGCGGCACAGCCATGTCCTGCTCTCTACAAGACAGATGAACTTCTCATGTCTTTCTGGTAGAGGAAGGTAAAAATTTCATTTAGTCAGGCTATTTGGGGGTGTTTCCCAAGCTTGAATGTTCCCTGCTGTGAAAAGCAGAGGTACGTTTACTACGTACTCTAAGGAAGTGGTTTAAAATCTGCTTTTTGTGTAGTCCTTCCTTCCTTAAAGGAGTAAGGTCAACAAATGGTATGACAAACAGCTACCAGGTGTTGGTATAGTTTTCACTTTGCCTTTCTGGCGAGTGCGAGTTGAAAGACTCACTGATCTCAGCGCCCTGAGAACAGCCAGCTGTGAGAACTCTCAATTCTTTCTCATGACATCCTAAAAAGCCTCAGTCATAAAGTACATATAGGTGTGGGCTGTTAATTTAGCCACGTCCACAACCGAATTCTGTTCCTAAGGCAAGTAGGCGGGAACCAAGCCCACCTGACGGGCGCCGCTGGAAAAAAATTCAATACTGGCACCGAAGGAGTTAAACCATAAACATTCACTTTTTCTTTTTATTAAGAAAGCATGCACAAAAATAAACTCGTGAGACCACGCCCCTCTCTCCCTGACCACTGACACAAAGCACGGGGGGCCACACCACGCCGGAGGGGCCCCCCAGGACCCCTCTGCGGGACAGGCCGGCATCCCTCCCTCCCTGCGGGCCGGTACCTGCGCACCCCGCAGACCTCCGCCCGATGCCTTCCCACGCACTAACAACGCACATTTATTTCAGGGGCAGAGGAACGAGGCTAATTTGCACACTGACCGGCATGTATTTACATATGCAAATGAGGCGCAACTTAATACGCAAATGAGGCAAATATGCAAACGAGGAGCACTTGGATACGCAGAAGGAGCCATCTTGGTTTGGTTTTCTTCCAGTGGTGTTTTCAGACTTCCACAGGGCCGGCTCTCAGTAACCTCCTCTGCAAAGCACTAACTGGCACCTACCAGAGGTTGTCCCTCATGGGCGTCTCTGGTGCCACTTTCCACAGAAACCCATCAAGCATGCTTCCAAGCTGTATCATTCCCATCCTGAGGCAGCAGAGATAACGGCTGACTCCATGTTGAAGTTGTCTGGGATTCCTCATTTCTCTTGGAAACACTCAATGACGAACTCTCCCCTCCCCCCCCCGAAAACCACACACTTTAAAAAGAAAAAAAAAAGAAAAAAAAAGAAACAAAAATGTCCCCCCCTCCCCAATACAATGAGACTCTGTCCACTTCCCTGACAAAGATCCAACTTGTTTATCCCTACAGCAAATTTAAAAAGCAATGCTAGTTCCCCACCTTCCTGCCGTCAAGAGTAGAGGTTATTACTCCCCTGCCCCAGGTCTGTCACGCAGCCATGATGTTTTATTTCATCTTGGTTCCCTTCACTGGTAAACGGGGAATAAGGGCCAGGGGGAGGCTTTACAAAATATTAAGAGGAAACAAGAGGTTTGACAGAACAGAGCCATACCAGAAAAAAGGGGAACACAGGACACAGCTTTGGGGAGGAGGCATCTCAACACTCACTCCTGCTCCTGCACTCTTTCCACCTTCCTGATTTGCAAGTGCTGACAAAACTCATCCTTTGGATTTACACTAGCTTCCATCACCTCCCCAGCTGAACTGCAAGGGGTCTGACCCACCCTCCTCCCTTTTACACTACACTCTTTGGCTGTTCGGTTTAAAAATCTGCGCCGCTTCACCTCTCCCTTCTAATGCACCTCTTACAAAAACCACTTGTGAGGGCCTCCCAGTTCCTTGACCAGAAGCCCCCCAGTTCACCTCCACTCTGAGCAGCAGCTTCCTCTTCCCACCGTTAGCCCATTCACAAACTGGGAACCACTGACTAAGACTTTGCACCTACGCAGCACGACTCCTGTTGCTGGCACTCTCAAACCACAGGCAAGGACAGTCTCCAAAGAAATAGGAGGGGCAGAGGGCCAAATAACAACTGAACAAATACCGATGGGAGAAAACTTCCAAATTTGCATATGCAAGTAAGAGCCTCACTACATATTTTAAAGAAGGGCTTGAAGGGGTGGGGGGTGAAATTAAAAGCTCTGGGGAATAGAATTTGTTGAATCACATGTGACACCCCTGACTGCTTCTTTTACCTGATGGGTATGTAGGCTTCACCTGGAGACTGCAAAAGGCAGTGTAGGAAACAGGTCTGGATTCCCTCAAAAAATCTCTCTCAGTCCTCACAGATGGCACTGCATTCTGAAACCCAACTTCTCTGCTGAAATACCATCTCTGCTACGTTCTCCTTTCTCCGAACTCAGGTCTACCCTCCCAGCCCAGCCCAGCTCAGCTCAGCTCTCCCTACTTCAGGGATTACCCTCTCTTTGTACTTGGGAACTCTGCTTCTTTTCTTGCTTTTCCTGCTGGTGTGAGAAAGTTCACAGAGCTAAGATCACCCCTCCAGTGTCCCTTTAGCCCCCTGACCTTTACAACATTTACGAAACAACATAACTACAGGCTCCCAGGGTCCACTAGGCTCTCTCACTCCAGTAGCCAATACGACAGATTCACCGGCCACCTTGAAGGGAAAGAGGGATTGTTAAACGCAAAATGATGGAGGCAGAGAAAGATGCACTCGAGGATTCAGCCTTCCGAGGTCTTTTCATGGCACCAAGGACCCATCTTTCTGCCCTCCACAGGGCGCCACGCAACACGAAAGAGCCGATCTGATGCGTCCGAGGCCACCAGAGGAGGGGGAGGGCTGTGCTCAATTATTGGTAATAATAATAATAATAATAATAACAATAATAATAATAAACAAAAGAAGAAAAAGAAGATAAAACAGGACGCAAGGAAGGATTATCTTCGGCAGCATCTTGCGGTGGCTTCTCTGGCGGAGATAGAGAATATATATCTATATACAGGCAAGGCAGGGAGGCTGGGGAGGGTGGTGCTGGCACCATTGACCCCATGTCCCCCTCCCCTCCCGCGTCCTTCACAAAGGACGGGCTATCAAGTCTGTAACTCGCTAGGTGATCAAGTCCCAGTCGAAATCATCGGGGATTTCCTCATTGGCGCCTGGAGGCGGCCCTGGAGGCCGAGGGACCAGATGGTGAGCTGAGCCAAAAACAAGAAAAAGGAAAGAGAACAGTTAGAATAAAAAATGTCGTGCTTTTTCACTGTGGTCTCTTGGGCAAAAGAAAGCGTAAGGGATTTGGGCCTTCTCCCTTCCAACAGTCTAGCAAGCAAGAACACTACTGGCATGAATTTCTCCATCAGAGAGCACCTACCAATGTCTGCAGGTGGCCTGCTGTGAAATTTTCCACAGCAGCTTCTACAGAGGTTAAGTTTCAGCCTCCTTAACCTTCCTTCCAGCTGACTGCTGATAGAGCACAAAGGACTTCATGAACAGAAGCTTCTCATGTAAAGTTGCCTTCAAGCAACCAACTGAGGGTGAGGCTGAGCTAGAAGACTATTTATGTGAAGTGAAAGAAATCAGGCCACTGAAATCCTAAACCTTGCCAGAGCTAAGGAAGAGCGCTAAATGGAGGGTCCCTTGCAGCCCAGGCTCCCTCTCTACCCTCATTGCTCCATTTGATTAGGAAGTGCTTTGGGAAAAATGCACAAAGGGCTTGGGAACCAGTTCTTTAATGTTCATTGGTATAATCTGCCTTAATGTCACCCCTTACCTGGGCGATTATATCCTGGAGAGTCCTGGGTGGAGATCTGGTACATAGGAGATGGCCCGGAGAAGAGATGGGGAGGCTGGGGCTGACCATAGGAGTTCACTGGGAAAGGAAAGGAATGAAAAAAGAAACCTGTTAACGTTCTGGTCAGCTGTCTTGGCCCTGACTGGGTGGCAGCTCAGCCACAGAGCAACTCACTCAGACCCACGGGATACTGAGGAGATGTTCAGCTGTTGGGTCCTAACTGCAAGCTATAGCTTGGTCAGGGATCTTGTTCTTGGAACCAGCAGGAGTTTCTCTATTATTGTAAAAGAAGAAAATTTTCATCCAGAAACGCCACAAGCTGGCTCAATATCATCCATTTAGTTCAGCACTAGATGACACACACCATCACAGTTCTGTCAAGACCATGATATCCTCTGTGCTTTCCACAGAGTGCATCCTCCTACTCCTTGTCCAGTCAGTATTTCCCCAACATGGGTGCAAGAGCTTTCTTCTTTACAGCTCCTGCCATCTGGAATAGCAGTCTCTCTACCTTGCCATTCCTTTCTGTTGGTCACCTACAAAAAACACCACCCCCTTCTTCTTTTATGGGTTTACCTTTTAAATGTATTTCTGCCTGGAGAGGTTGCCTGTCAGTGGTATGCATCACATAATAATGGTCTGTCTACACCACAGACATAGGACATCCTAATTCTTTAAAGCCAGAGGAAGCTGAGTGGCTACGAACAGCTCTGACAGCCTAGCCCTGTTGCTCAGTGCTAGATTGCCTGGCAAAGCTGCAAGTAGTTTGGGATATTCACAGAATTGAGCCTTCATTTACATGTCATTTTAGTCTCCCTCCTAATTACCTTGGTTCATGGATTGCTCCTGTTTGCCACTGTTCAGGGCACAAGAATCAGAGATTCGGGGGGGCTGCTGTGGACCAAGCAGATGAGGGAGCTGACCAGTCTGGGTAAGAAAGTGATTAAGGGAGTCACAGAGGTTGGCAATATGGTGTTGATCCAGCGTCCAGTTCTTCCGCTCAGCCTGGCGCAGACTCTCCATCAGCTCTGCAGGGGACAAAGGATGATGTCAAAAGACAGCACTCACACTGTGGTCTTCCCTGCAAAGAGTTTGTCTTCTACACATAAATCCTACCATCTCCCCACAAACCCAGCTTCATCGCTTCAAATCTGTCACCAAACTCCTGAAGAGCTCCATATCTAGGATACTGTCTCACTGACTCAGGTAGGGGAGGGAAGAGTAGGAGGGAAAAATCTCAAGTCAGCTATCTGACATACTTTTATGAATGAATTGCCCCTGCCCCAACCTCCTGCAGTGTTCAAGTGCTTCAGGGTCTTTAACAGAAGCCATGAAGTAGCACACCTCATTTTACAAGTAGAAGAGTTGAGTCACTGAGAAACCCATGGAATTGACACGATTACATTGAAAAAAAAGCTCTGGGCACAGCACTCACATATTGAGTCACCAGACCTAGTCACTAGGCCAACACTGACCTGAGAATTGGGAGTGCTCAATGCTAGACCAGTTCAGCCGGTTTACCATCTTGAAGCTTTCCTTCAAGGAATCAATGTTGGAGCACCAATCAGGGGGAAATGCTGGAATGAAATGCGGACAAGATTATTCCAATACAGACCACCCTTTCCCTCCACCCCTTAATATAAAATGATTCACTTCTCTTCACCAAGGAGCCTGATGCTACAGTAGCTAGAAATCCTTCCTCCCTTGGGAGAGTGGAGATTAGCCCCTGACTTTATCCTGCATCCCTAAACAGAATCCCAAACCCAGTGTGGATGTATCCTCCTTTCCTTCAGTAAGGAAACAATTTCTCTCTCAGATTTCAATCACAACTGGCTTTCACCCTTTTCCACACACAAAGTAGGCACTACTTGAGGAAAGCCCACTTGTGGAATTTCTTTTGGGGGCTCCTCATGCTCTCTTTTCCCCAGCTGCTCTTTCCATCACCCCTGACTCACCAAAGCCAGCATTGTTGATTGAAGCCTGTGACTGCTGCTGCTGCTGGTGCTGATGTGGCTGCTGCTGTGGGTGGGAGTGCGGGTGATGTTGTTGATGCTGGTGGTAGCCTCCATGCTGCATTGGGGGTGGGTGCATGGACATCACTGGTGGAGGGCCATAACCTTCACCACCCTGCTGCTTTCCCCCTTGGGATGGGCAACCCTCTGGGGTTGGAGTGTGGAGTGGGGGAGCAGCACCCACTGATGAGGGGCCTTGCTGCTGCTGCTGCTGGTACATGTAGTAGTTGTGGTTGGAGGGCTGCATGTCACCAAGGAGAGAAGAGAAACCTGCCGAGTAAAAGGAAGAGGAGGGAGCTTTAAGAGCTGCCTGGATCAGACCTCTGCTTAAATTATCCATCTCTCATTTCACACTGCTCATCCTGCTATTTATGAAGCTTTTGGAGTGCCCTCTACAGGCTGCCAACAACTATCACCTGCACAGTTATGCCCTCACTGTGCTCCCAAATTCTGTTCAAAACAAAAGGCTCTACAACAAAGCCCCAGCAGGATATAAACTTCTAGTACAGAGTTAGGCACTTAAATTCCCCCCCTGGATTTCTCCTGTATTTACCAAAATAACCCATGCTCTCCTGAAATGTCATGCATGTGTTGCTTTCCTAGAAATGACCATTAAACAAACTTAAAGAACAAAACATTTAGAAAATGGGTAACTTGATAAACCTGACTTGCTGTTTCCAAAAAGCTCCCTTCAGTTCCCATCTTACAGTAGCTTGGTTGGTAACCTTCCCAATTTTTCTCACACAGATCATTAGAGGTCACACATTCTACTGTTTTTATAGACAGAGCACATTGCACACATCAGGGCTCCTTTATTACTTTCATTCCTCCTGACTCATTGGGTGTGTCATTTCTATCCTCTCGTATTTCAGGCATCCCCTACATGCAAGAGCATCAGGTGTTCTCCATTCTTCCCCACATCAGGAACTTGGCATATCTCTTACATCTGCTTCCCTCGTTCATTCTCCCTTTATGTTGTGGAACCTCCAGGAAAAATCACAGTGAAGAGCATTACATGCCACTAACCTGAGCTACTCATTTCTTACTTTGAGCGCCCTTACTTGACCATCCGCAAGCAAGCCTCAGTTTTTCACTAGATCCAAACTCAACCCTTAGAGCACCCTACTACTGCAATGGGGCAAAAGGATGAATACTGCCATCCTGACTCAAAAGTTGCCCACAAAATTTCCTCAAAACCTGCAAGTTTTCCTAGACTACCTTACAGCTGAAGACCTGGGGGGGGGAAACCAAACCCAGTCCACTGCTAAGCTTTTACAGAGGCACACATTGAGTCAAGGTTCTTCTCTACATTTTTGTAGCTTGCTCATTCTACACCACCTCACACAACAGGCTCCTCACTAGGAATCTCAAGTGGCAGCATGATGAAAGCAATAAAAGTAGTAAGTTTTTATTTCACTGAAGCTGAAAGCTCAGGAGGCTCCTCCCAGAGTAGCAAACTTTGCCTGCACTGTACGACGGTTGACAGCAGAGGTGAGAGGCTCATCTAATAACATATTCCTTTTTACACCAGCCTAACATTTAGAAGTGTTTAAAGGCAAGAACAACAACAGTAGATTTTTCTGAAGTGTTTTCCGTGGACATCTCATCCCATCAGCGATTCTGCCCTCTGGTGGCTGCTTCCTCGGCCCCAGAACTGCAAGCCATGAATGCAGCTGCAGGCTCACGCTTCCACACTCTCAATTCCACAAAGCTCAATTCTCCAAGGCCTTGTACAATCCTAGTTTTAACAGATCTGAGCAATGACGACTTTCCACTCTCCTTTTGGAGAAACTCCACATGCAACAATCCCCTCCCTCTTACGGTTTCTAGCCTGACAGATTGTGAATACTTCTCTGACGTGCTCTGCTTCAGGACTTTATTTCTCTAAGCTTCTGCCATTTTAGTATTTGCTTTTGTATCAACACAAGGTATTTTTAAATCATTATCCTCTTTATTCTCAGAGAACTAAGGGGAGCAATAGATAAAGGACATGCAGATTTCTTATCTGCTCCTGGCAGAACTAATTACAGCATGCCAAAGAAGGAAAGTCTGTTTGCACAGGCTCCTAAACGAGGAAAAATCTGAGAGATACCAAGGATAGATCAGTGGACAAGACTGTGTGGGCAGATACCTGCCCACCCCACATGACGCATATAGTTACTCACCGTGCTGAGAGGAAGATGATTTCTCCAGCATGGATTTGTAGAGATTTCGGAAGGACCAGCTAAGATCCTGGAAGTTGATCTCAGAGTAGGAGAACTTGAAGTCATGGTTGGCACTGTACAGTGGGGTTGGCACATCGGCCCCTTCACGGCCCTGCCCCCCTGCTACAGTAGAGGCAACATCCACAGGCCCCGCACCCTGCTAAGGAAGGTAGAAGTAAGGCCTTTAGCTCGTACTAGGTTTTGTACCTTGAGACAGGGATCCAGAGATCAGATACAGGTAGAACATGCACAAATATCCCCTATCACTTAGCTCATCTCCCAACAAATCTTCCCAAACGCCATTTTCCTTGAGGAAAATCAACCACTACCCTCCCTCTGCAGCACACTGGCTCCAGACTTTTCTTCAGCTACCTAATACCATTATGCCTTTATCCTTATCCCCATCCAGCCCTTTGTTAAAATTCACTTCCTCCTTATTTTCCATCTCTGCAATTTCAGCTTCTTCCCTTCTTTTTATTTTTGCCTCCGTATTACCATTTTCACGATTCCCTCTCTTCTCACCACTTCGCTTTTCCATTCATGCACTCCTCCCCCTCTCCTCTTCCCCTGCCATAAGGCGTCCATCCTTTTCCCTGCTGCTCACCTGGCTGTAGTTGGCAATAGGGGTGGTGCTCTGGAGTGACAGCTGAGGGGTGGCCTCAGGTGGCAAAGAGGCTTCTGTGCTGACTGGAACAGCCCCTCGGGGACTTTTACTTGCCTCTTGCTCTGGGGAGTCTTGTGGTATCTGTGGATGCGGAAGAAAGAGAAAAGGAAAGGAGCAGAAATCAAAAACAGATGGAGAAGTGAAACTGCAGATGGGAAGCCAGCTCCCCCGCTGTAGAAGTTCGTGGCTTAGAAAAGAGGACTGGGCCTTAGTCACTGAAGAGTCAGGCTAAAGGACTTAAAGCCAGATTAACTTTGCTACTGAAGAGCAGCAACAACAGCCAATCAGCAGAACGTACCTGCTATTTCATTTAGTCCTAGCCTTTGTCTCCCCACCTGTACACCCTGCCCCCAAAACAGTACCATGGTCTGGTGCTGGAAGGACTCCTTGGAACAAGAAGGGAATTACCCCTCCTGCTCCATGCTGTCTGGAAAGAACAACACTCACGTCATCATCTGGAGGATGCCGCCTCTTGCGAGATATGTCTGGACACGTATCTATTGTCCAATAAGAGCCCTGGAAAGAAGACACATTGGTGAATGCACAATTAAATCAGAGAGCTTCTTGAAGCAGGAGGTTACTGACTCAAAGAATGCAGCACCAACTAAACATTAGGACCCAGACCACCCGCCAGAACATCAGACAAGGGACTTGGGTGTTGGAAAGAGATTCCTTTCTTGTGTTGGGTTGTATTGAACAATGAGGTACGATGCTACTGGTGGAAGGCAGAATGCTCTATGTTTCCATCACTCTGAGACAGGGCACCAAGAAGAGCAAAGGATGTTTTGAACCAAGCTAGGCCAACTCTTTTCTGCATGCACACCCCTCCAGTACCTTCCTCACAATATGAATTTGTTATTGACTGATGAGAACCAACTCAATGTTCAGACTGGGCAGAGACAGCTAGAAGGATTGCTCATTTTCCATGCTGTGAGACTCCACTCTGAGTACTGTGCCCATTTGGGGGTTTCCCAGCACAAAACAGACACTCACATGCTAGAATGCATCCAAAGAGGGGCCACCACGATGGTTAAGAGCTAAAATACATGACGTACAAACAGTTCACACAGAGAGATCTGTTTAGCCTGGACAAGTGAAGGCTAAGGGGATTTAACCACTGTCTTCAACTGTGTAAGGAGATTATAAAGAAGACGGAATCAAATTCTTCTCAAAAATGCACAGCACAAGAATAAGAGGCAACAACCACAAGTTACAGTGGGGGAAGTTAAAATCAGATATAAAGAAAAATTTCTTCACAATGGTGATGGTGCAGCACTGGAACAAGTGCCCAGTTGTGCTGTCTCCATCCTTGGAGATATTCAAAACTCAAGGAATACCTCAACAACCCAATCTAATTGCCCCTCTCTGGGAAGGGGTGGGAGTGTGTGTTGACCTCCAGAGGTCCCTTTCAACATACAAGAGTCTATAATTATATCTGTTGTTTTCTGAATAAGTATAAAGACAACTCTAGAATGTGATTTAGCTCATTTTAACCTCCAATTGAAATCTGAATAATCAGTGACAAGCACATGACAGGTTTTCATTAAAAACCCAGCCCAACATGCCAATGAACACCTGCACACATACACACTGAAGTCAGTTAGGATTTCCTGGAATAAGCCATATAATCAATGGTATTTTTGAGCAGTGATCTTCAAAGGTATACTACTTCCATTTATACACACCAACTGAGCACTGCTTAGTCCTTTAAATATAACCTGAAATAAAAGGCCTGAGCAAGTGGTCCTTTCTGGTAACTTTAGGATGGGGGGAGGAGACAATCCTTCTGTCTAAATACATAGCTTCTTGTCCCCACCATCTCCTTCTGCTTGTTTGTTTGTTTGGTTTTTTTAACAGTAATAATATCTGCATGCCAAGATGCCAAGCCTTGGTTTTGCTAGCAATTCTCCTTTACAATCTATATACACTAACAGAGCTTTATTAGCCCTTACTTAGCCAACAAATTCCTAAATATCTTGAGTTTTACCTGTAAATGATTTCTACAGATTTGCACTATCTGATGGTGACATTTTTTTCCCCAACACCAAATGTTTTGTAGTCTAAATAGGTAGTAGTTCTGCTCTCACTTCCATGGATCTTGCCTCCCATGACGTCACATCATAGTCCTGCCATTCACCAGCAGCCACTACCGTCTTTCATAACAGAACAGGTTGGACTAGACCCACATTTTACACATAAAGATCAAGAAGAAAAAGAAACAAAACTAAAAAAGTACATTCAACCCCATACTTTCCTTCTTCCGGTATCTTTAAAGTCAACCGAAGATCACAGATAAGAAAAATAATTGCTAAAACCATTAAGGCCCCTTTACAGGTTCCCTTTAAGCGAATGCTTCTGTAGCCAAAGCACTGCAGTAAATCTTACTACTGCTTCCATTTTTGCCTACACTTTAGGTTTCAAATTCCAACCGTGAGTTAGAAAGGGCAACCCCGGCTTATTCCCTGCAGTTTTAAATTGCTTGCCCAGGAGCATGCAGATTTCTTACCTTCCCAGGATCATCTCTCGGTCGAGGCACCTTCCGAAAACATTTATTCAGAGAGAGGTTATGACGAATAGAGTTCTGATGAGAGAATAAGAGATACAGGTGAGTACTACCACAGAAACATACAGCCTTCTTGAGTATGCCTGAGGGCGGGCAGAGAAAATAGAAGGATGGTGCATACTCAAAAGCCAAAGCTCACTACATATACCCAGAACAGAGCAGAACAGAAGCTGTGGAAAGGAGAGGGATGGATTAGGATGAATAATTATGGGGCTGAACCACCTATTCATCTATGGAAGGTGCAATGAAAATAGTATCAGTGTGATGCAGAGGTTGGTAGTGATGTGAGTTTTGTGGGGGTTTTTTGTTTTGTTTGTCTTGGTTGTTGGTGCTGGGCTTTTCGCATGCTCCTTCTTAAGAGCCTACCACATACATAAAATAAAATTCTCAGAGAAAATGGGACTTCTGCCTCTGCATTTTTTCCAGTGGTCAACTTAGTTTCACATCTGTCTTTTTATTTTGCTCAGTAAGGATATTTTGCAAGAATTAATAAAATAAGTCTTGTTATTAGACAAAAAGGGTACTGTAACAATGCAAGTCCTCACCTTCCAACCAATACCAGCATTTTTGTAGTAGGGAAAGTTGTCACAGATCCAACGGTAGATCTCACTAAGCGTCATCTTCTTGGCAGGTGATGAGTTGATGGCATATGTGATCAAAGTGGCATAGCTGTAACGTGGCTTCCCATCTTGGTGCACTGCAGCCTCATCCTTACTCAGGGTGGCATTGGGATCTGTCGGTGAGCCTGGGGGACACTTTCGGGCAGCCCCTGGAGGTCCTGCTTGTGAGGAACCCCCTAATTTTTCAATAGTAGCCCTTAAAGTAAGCTGTGGGAGCCAGTCTATGGAAGTGAGGCTGCTTTCCAGGTCAGAGGCCATGATGCTGGAAGCAGGACTATCTGTGAGGAGAAAGGAGCAGAAGGGGAACTCCTGAGATATAAACAAGGTGAACCCTCAGAACAGAAACATCCATTGGCATCCCTCCTCTGCTTCTCCCCCTACCACAAATACCTGTGCGAAGATCATCCTACTTCATATACCTTATTCACAGCCAGACAGAATCATCCAAAAAGGCCAATGACTATGTCTCTGGGAGGACCATCCTTGCTGATAGTGGCTGGGACAGTGCTGATGGTAATATTGCTAGAATGGTCTTACCCAGAGCATCCCAATGGTTCCCAGGTAAAGAACTAAAATCTGTTCAAAGGAAGTGGAACCTTTTCAGTAGCTGTATCGCATTCACTCCTTTATGACGTAAGCAATATAACCTTGGGACCCTTCACCAAGATTACCTGACATCCAGTAGGTTTACTGTGTTAGGTAAGAGGAAAATCATAGATAAAAGGGAATACTCCTTCATGCCATATACAAACCACAATTTAATTAGATCATCTGGAAAAGTCAGGACTGTGACTATCTTAATTTAGGGGGAAATTAATTTCTCTCCAAGGCCTAGCCTCTCTTTTTGCATCAGGTGACATTATAATGAATCCTATTCCTTAGAGCTAGGATTACATATCTCATTTTAAAACACCAAGATCACGCATAATACTATATATAGATAATTACATCTACCATGTCGAGGTGGAACAGACTATATTAATCTCATAATAGTTAAAGCTTTGCCTACCATAACCCATTTTTCCTAAATATACATATAATTTTATTGAATTAAATCTTGCTTAATTCACAATATAACAGGCAAGTATTTTCCCCAAATCTGGGACACAAGAAAAACTTACTTGTCCAAACTCACACAACAAGCTTGCTATAGGGTGGAAACAGACTCAGGATCTTTCCTCTCATAAATATTATATACTTTCCCTCATAAAAATAAAACACACCAGTCCAACATGGCTAGCACTTGTACCCAGGGTTTTCTACTTAACAATTATTTTATATGAAGAAAATATTTAGCGGCATGAACTTGTATGAACTTGTACACTTAGCACACAAACTTGTATACTGTCTTTTGTAGTAGTCAAGGCAGCAGAAAGATCATCATTCTTACTCATAATTGGCTGCATCACTATACTAGGAGCAATCCCTTGAAGTCTGGACTGAGGTAGCTAAGTTTCCATGGCCACAACCTGCCCTGCTCTGCACTTATTCTTTGCATAAAGAGAAGAATCACGTCTTTAAGGGCTACAAGTTCTTAATCTTTCTTTTTCAAAATTAATCTTTTTAGAAGATTAGATGATGCTATCTTTGAACATGCTAGTGCATACAAAATGTCAACACATGTGCACATACTTATGTACACACTCATGTAACAAATTAAACGCATGTATACATGTAAGAGAGAAGAGACAGACATGAACACACTCTGCTTAGGAAAGATTCATCAGCAGACACCTCCCACCAAGTGCATCACTCAGATGAGTGGATCAGATGAGACAGGGAGACACCCATCTGCATGAATACCAATTAGATACTCATTCTAAAAATAGGTATTCGACAATAACACAGTGTGGATGCACAGATCCAGAGACAGATGCACCCAGCATTTTGACACAGAAGCTCCCTGTTCTTCCCCCACAACCATATGCATTATACCTTGTACTTCTGCACTGAAGTGCTCTCAGCACAAAAGCACTTAAGAGTCTCCACTCCAACACGTTTGTATGCACTAAACCTTTCATTTTCATGCATGGGCTCATCACACCTCTTAGGGCTCAAACACCTACACAACACGCCAACAAAATCCATCCCTCAACCACCATGAGCAGTGGCTCCGAAGCCCTGGGCTCAGAAAACACCTCCTAACTGCACAGCTAACGTTATCACTTGCACTCATATGCACACACAGACTGAAAAGTAAAATTGCAGCACTACAGTATCTGTAGCGAGTGGAAACATCTTTCTGTCTGTGAAGGAAAGGGAAAGCCCAACTGCTACTAACTTATCTATCTACTCATCTGCCATGCTATCACATATGATAGCAATGACTACTTGCTACACAGCTAACTAGACGATCAGAGCTGCAAAAGGCTTTCCATTATCCACCCTCCTCGAGTCGTTGTTTATTGAATATAGCCCTTTTTGGGCAAATTGATCTAATCTCAAACATTTTAAATTAAAAAAAAAAAAAAAAAAAAGGCAGCACTATTCCTTCCTGAATTATACAAAGGAAAAGCAACAACATGTTTTTATCCAGTGGGGATGGACAGGCCGCTGAGGTATCCACAAAACTAAAGCACAGCTACATTTGCACGGTAACTTTACAGATACTGCCCTCACTAAAAGTAGTATTCAACTTGGGAGAAAAAAAACATGAACTAAGTATCAGTTGAATCCTTAATTTTGTAAGTGTGCCTCATATAAATTTTAATTTCCACAGTGCAGTCAGAGAACAAATTACTGCTGCTTATCATATGCATGTTAAACCATTATGAAATATCACTTATGCTAACAATACAAATCCAAAGTAAAATAAATACAAATTTCGCAGCTGCCCCCTCCCTTTTTTTTTTCTTTTAAAAGACGTACAATAAATCAAGAAAATTACGTTATAAAAGCCTACGGCAGATTAAGATACCCATCTGAAACACCAGAAATAAAAGAAGCAGAAGAAAACACTGCAGTTTTCACAGAGCTTCAGATTTGCCCAGGTTATGCCAGTAGAGCATTTGGGATGACTGGCTATGCAGCAAAATGTAAGGTTGATATGCAACATGCCCGTCGTCAAATACACAAGCTTTTGTGTATTTGTGTAAAACACACTTGTCACGGAGACAAGCAAGGTTAGAATTGAGGCACATTACACCCATGCTAAGAATCTGAATATTTTCATTCCCTGCTTTATAGAAATCTTTGACAAGAAAAAATCCCAAAATCTTAAATAAAAAGATTCTGCATATACATATGCACTAATCACCCAGTACTGAAACAACTACTTTTTAGTAAAATACAGCAGCTCTTTGAGAACATATAAGCTAGACAGTAATTTAAGACAGAAAGTGAAGACTCAGACCCAATAGCAATCACGTGGGAAATTTCAAAGCAGTGGAATAAGATTTTTTTTTTCCAAGTTTGAACCTGATCATGTTACTGGATTTGTAAGTCTGTATCCTGGCAATATGGCACCTGTAATCATCAGGCATAGTCAAACCTTAGGTAAGGTGGCAATTCCAGAACACTGTCAGTGCAAAAATAATTTGGTGTAATTGGCTACTAAACTATTTGAAAGAATACTTACTATAACAGTAATACTTGTTATAATTTGTGCTGCATATCTCATTCACCTGATCCAAGCAGCACACCAGCTTGACGCTACTTAATGGTACGATAAAACAAGACTGCAGCCAAACCAGAGCAGCTGATGATTCTTCCAACTTTCTATTGCCTGGCAAATCTTCTTTCAAACTCTTCTCTTATGATCCCACTCAAACAAATTAAAAAAAAAACCAACCCTAATGACTAACAAACACATTGAACTGAAATCAAGGGTGTTTAAAAAAAATCCTACCACATTAGCAAGCCAGAATTAACTTCGAAGAAGTAAAAAGAAAGTCAAAGATGAGAATTCATAATCTCCCACTTTACATGGTAAATGGTATCTGTTTATGTATTTGGCTGACTTTAAAAACCAAGGGTAAGGTAGCCAAGTCATAACCACCATCAACAGCTGGAAACTGACTGCAGAGTCTTCATTTCTCAAGCTCTAACTAGTTCCAGTACAACCCCAAGACAAGACAGGTCAGTGAGATGCAAAAATGACAGCCAAACACTGATCCAAAACTACAATTAAACAGACGAGAATCTGTCTGATTTGTAAGAAAAATTTATTAATCATTAAAGAAAACTGTAGCATCTAATACCTTTTAATAACCACTAATTCACTTGGGAGTAGTAATACTTCACTACAGCTTTCCAGGAAAGCTACTGCCTTACTTTGAATATTTGCAACTAGCAAATCAAACCTCAGGCTAAAAATGCAAGCCAGCCTTCTGTCTATCAGATAGTACTATCCCTGCCGCTGGACTGAAGAAATCTGTACTTTGACTGCCCTGGTGTTTTGCAAGTGCTTGCTCTAAGCCAGTCAGTTCTTATCCAAGATCACTGCTACTTATATATCAGGACTGAAAAATGTATGAAATGTGGGGAACAGTGTTCTAAGGGTCATATTGAATGCAGTTAATAAACATTTATAGCCTGAAACATTCTCTAAGGCTGAACTCAAAGGCTGGCCAGTCAGAATCAGTTACAACTAAAGCAGAGTCATACAATGAATGAAACTATGCTGTGCACAGCCTACAGAAGATGCATATTCTAGAATAAGTATCTACATTTTCTTTTCTATATCTACTTTCACTGTTGCTTTATTCACTGCTACTCCAATCCAATGAAACACTACTGGCAAAACATTCAAAGAGGACTCAACTTAGGTTTCTCAACATAAACCTTGAGAAGGCAGAAATACACAACAGACTACCAGTGAGAGACATTGCTGTAGAACACCCACAAAAATAAGGCCACTTCTATTTAGGTGTCTGAAACACAGATCCAGTGATCTAACTAACAATATCCATCTAATATACTCATAGATACACCTACCTTCCAAGGTATTTAACAAACAAAAAACCTCAACGAACTGGCAAAAAAGAACCATTTGACTGCAACCTTCCTGAAACAAAAAGGTGAGCACAATGTCAGTTAGAGGAAACTGCCTCAAAAAATAAGTAAGAGAAGTAACACATAAGAATACCACGTGCATGGAGAAATGGACAGCTTCTACTTTGATGGGAAAAGGCAATTTTGACATATTTGTGTAAATTACGCATGCAAGAAACCTGTATTCTTATGCCATTACAGAAAGGGGAAAAGAATCAATTTTGCTAACTCTGGCAGGAATTAAGACATGCTTTTCCTCAAAAATAAGGAGGTGTGAACTAAGAGG